ACATAGTGAATGACAAAGTGTGTCAATATACTCTTCTCACTGTCCACACGAGTGTGTTCAGAATATTGCCTTAGTTGTTATTGGGGGAGCTGTTTCAGCCCAGAAGAAAATAATTTCAGGGCCTCAGAGAGTGATTCTCAACATTCCAGAGTGCGATTTTCTTCTTCTTTCTTTTCTTTCAGCCAGCGCCCAGGGTTCTATGCCAGCAGGGAAGATGTTTCTCACTCCTCACCCGATTCTCTCTTGCTTTATTTCAGTCTGTGGCTTTTTTTTTGTTGTTCAGTCTCACATGCAGAGAGGAATAAACAGTGTGCTTTATCACATCCTATTCCTAGAAACTCTATCATTCAGGACTCTGTTGTAAAACGGTCATAGATTCTATAGAAATCATAACCAGGAGGGTTGAGTTTTAGCCAAAGTCTCTGTATCAGGTAAATCAAAGATACGACCAACATCTTAAAATAATGTACCAAAGCTATAAGCCTCTAGAATAACTTTAATAAGGATGTTGTTATCCTGTGAGATGAGAATAAATATGTTGTATTTTTATTATAAAAAGAACACCAATTTACCATAAAGTGTATGCATACTGCTTAAAAATATAATTCTACTCTATTGTAAATATTGCTATTTATATTGCTAGCTATAAAAATCATCCAACGTTTAATTAACAATAATTTTGAGAGTACGTGGATGTTCCTTGCAAACAGCAAAGCATTGTGTATTAATCTCTGTTGTTTTATTGGAATTTACACAAGTTGGTGAATCATAATAATAATGATAGCTAAATCTGTGCTAGGCTCTGCCCTGAATTCTTTGTATTAACTCATTAAATCCTCTCAACATGCTACAAAGCAGGTACTGTTTGTTTTAGTTGTTTAGTTGCTAAGTCGTGTCCAACTTTTTACCACTCCATGGATTGTAGCCCTGCCAGGCTCCTCTGTCCATGGGAGTCTCCAGGCAAGAATACTGGAGTCATTCCATTCTCCAGGGAATCTTCCGGACCCAAGGATCGAACCCACATCTCCTGCATTGGCAGGCAGATTCTTTATCATTGAACCCCCTGGGAAGCCCTAGGTCTTGTTATTATTCCTATTTTAAAGATGAAGAAACTGAGGCTTAGGTTACAAAATGCATCCAGCATCATTTCTGTGATTTTTTTTCATTAATTTTTTTGGAGTCCAGTTGCTTTGCAATGTGTTGTTAGTTTCTGCTGTACAGCAAAGGGAATCAGCTGTATGTACACATATATCCCCTCTTTTTTGGATTTCCTTTCATTGAGGTCACCACAGAGCACCGTGCACGGTTCCCTGGGTATACAGTAGGTTCTCATTAGTTACCTATTTTAACCACATACGGTATATATGTCAATCCCAATCTCCCAATTTATCCCACCCCTCTTCCCCCACTTGGTATCCATACATTTGTCCTAAACATCTGTGACTCTGTTCCTGCTTTGCAGATAGGTTCATCTGTATAATTTTTCTAGATTCCACATACACATTATATTATATGATACTTGTTTTTCTCTTTCTGACTTACTTCATTCTGTATGATAACCTCTGGGTCCATCCACATCTCTGCAAATGGCACAATTTTGTTCCTTTTTAGGGCCGAGTAATATTCCATTGTATATACGTACCGCATCTTCTTTATCCAAGAAGATGTTTCTCACTCCTCACCCGATTCTCTCTTGCTTTATTTCAGTCTGTGGCTTTTTTTTTGTTGTTCAGTCTCACATGCAGAGAGGAATAAACAGTGTGCTTTATCACATCCTATTCCTAGAAACTCTATCATTCAGGACTCTGTTGTAAAACGGTCATAGATTCTATAGAAATCATAACCAGGGGGGTTGAGTTTTAGCCAAAGTCTCTGTATCAGGTAAATCAAAGATACGACCAACATCTTAAAATAATGTACCAAAGCTATAAGCCTCTAGAATAACTTTAATAAGGATGTTGTTATCCTGTGAGATGAGAATAAATATGTTGTATTTTTATTGTAAAAAGAACACCAATTTACCATAAAGTGTATGCATACTGCTTAAAAATATAATTCTACTCTATTGTAAATATTGCTATTTATATTGCTAGCTATAAAAATCATCCAACGTTTAATTAACAATAATTTTGAGAGTACGTGGATGTTCCTTGCAAACAGCAAAGCATTGTGTATTAATCTCTGTTGTTTTATTGGAATTTACACAAGTTGGTGAATCATAATAATAATGATAGCTAAATCTGTGCTAGGCTCTGCCCTGAATTCTTTGTATTAACTCATTAAATCCTCTCAACATGCTACAAAGCAGGTACTGTTTGTTTTAGTTGTTTAGTTGCTAAGTCGTGTCCAACTTTTTACCACTCCATGGATCGTAGCCCTGCCAGGCTCCTCTGTCCATGGGAGTCTCCAGGCAAGAATACTGGAGTCATTCCATTCTCCAGGGGATCTTCCGGACCCAAGGATCGAACCCACATCTCCTGCATTGGCAGGCAGATTCTTTATCATTGAACCCCCTGGGAAGCCCTAGGTCTTGTTATTATTCCTATTTTAAAGATGAAGAAACTGAGGCTTAGGTTACAAAATGCATCCAGCATCATTTCTGTGATTTTTTTTCATTAATTTTTTTGGAGTCCAGTTGCTTTGCAATGTGTTGTTAGTTTCTGCTGTACAGCAAAGGGAATCAGCTGTATGTACACATATATCCCCTCTTTTTTGGATTTCCTTTCATTGAGGTCACCACAGAGCACCGTGCACGGTTCCCTGGGTATACAGTAGGTTCTCATTAGTTACCTATTTTAACCACATACGGTATATATGTCAATCCCAATCTCCCAATTTATCCCACCCCTCTTCCCTCACTTGGTATCCATACATTTGTCCTGAACATCTGTGACTCTGTTCCTGCTTTGCAGATAGGTTCATCTGTATAATTTTTCTAGATTCCACATACACATTATATTATATGATACTTGTTTTTCTCTTTCTGACTTACTTCATTCTGTATGATAACCTCTGGGTCCATCCACATCTCTGCAAATGGCACAATTTTGTTCCTTTTTAGGGCCGAGTAATATTCCATTGTATATACGTACCACATCTTCTTTATCCATCTCCTCTTGGACATAAATCACAGCAAGATCTTTTTTTGACCCACCTCCTAGAGTAACGAAAATTAAAAAAAAAAATTAAACAAATGGGACCAAATTAAACTTAAAGATTTTTGCACAGCAAAGGAAGCCATAAGATGAAAAGACAACTCTCTGAATGGGAGAAAATATTTGCGAGCAAGTTAACTGATGGTGCAGATGGTAAAGTGTCTGCCTACCATGTGGGAGACCCAGGTTCAATCCCTAGGTCGGGAAGATCTCCTGAAGAAGGAAATGGCAACCCACTCCAGTATTCTTGCCTGGAAAATCCCATGGATGGAGGAATCTGGTGGGTTACAATCCATGGGGTTGCAAAGAGTTGGTTTCACTTTCACTTTCTTTAACTGACAAGGGATTATTCTCCAAAATATACAAATAGCTCATGCATCTCAGTGTCAAAAAAAACAACCAACCCAACCAGAAAATGGTAGGGTATGAATTTAAATGCAGGCCTCCTGGCTTATGAGCACTGCTTTGACTTATGTGCAAGCATAATAAATAATGCATATTCCCTTCCTCTCTCTGAATACTCTTTAGCAATCAAAACAATTCTAATTCTTTCCAATTATGAAGGGTTTTGATTAACCTCTTAACCCTTAAACCCTTTAAATCCTTATTAAAAAGTGGCCACTTTGGGATTTCTCTGGCAGTCTTACTTTATTTTGGGCTTCTTTGGTCACTCAGGTGGTAAAGAATCTGCCTGCAAAGCAGAAGACCTGGGTTAAATCCCTGGGTTGGGAAGATCCCCTGGAGAAGGGAATGGCAACCTACTTCGGTATTCTTGCCTGGACATGGACAGAGGAGCCTGGTGGGCTACAGTCCATGGGGTTGCAAAGAGTCAGACACAACTAAACAAGTAAGCGTGCACTTGGGGACTTCTCTGGCAGTCCACTGGTTAAGACTCTGTACTTCAAATCCAGGGAGTACAGGTTTGATCCCTGGTCAGGGAACTAAGATCCCACCTGCTCACAGTGAACTCCAAACAAAAAAAAATTATTTTTAATTATTAAAGGAGGTGGCCACTTTTTCATTGCATCAGTGTCTACAAAAAGTATGGGTTAACATAGAGCCATGTAGACTTCCTCGCTCTGAAGCCAAGCACCAGAAGCAAAGTCTAGAAAATTGAACCTGGTTAAATCCCTTCTCCCCTATGGAGTCAGGAGCAGGGCAGGGCTTATCTGTCAAGTGCCCACTGCCCCTTGGGAGATGATCAGCATGGGACTCAGAGAGGTTAACTAGCTTGCCCAAAGCTTCATAGCTAAGTTACGTGTTTCAAAGAGGATTTGCACCCAGATCTGTGCCAGTAGAAGCCCGATCTTTTCCACTCAGTCAGATGATGTCCATGATTTGAAGACATGCTCTGTGCCCAGGAAAGATGAAGGAATATAACGAGAAAACAAAATTGGGCAGAGGTACTATTGTCTACAATATAGGAGCTCAGATCCTGGAGTAAGACCTGACTTCATCTCCCAGCTGAGTACAAAGGAGGGGAGAAATTGTGGATCTAAGAGTCACTGTAAGGACTCAGTTACTATAAGAAACAGCAAGTTTGGGCAATCGAGAAAAGAAAGATGGAGGAAGCATAATTGATGGCTCCAGTATTTTTCTACGATGTTCACCCTAGCGTGTGTGTGTGTGTGTGTGTGTGTGTGTGGTTTGTGTATGTAATTTCTTACTCAGTCCCAATGTTTGCACTAACTTGCATCCCTCTGAAGGGCTATTTTTTTTTTCCAGAATAAGGGAGGTGGGCAGGAGGGACCAGGAGCAAAGGCCGATCTGGGCTTTCAGATGTGTTTGCATCCCCCGTTTCACCAATTACTTACCTCTCTTTCTCCTCCACCTCCTTCTTTGCAGGAGTTTGTTCATCTGGCAAAGAGACTGGTGAGCGATCCGGCATTAGAAAAAAAAATCGTGGCCAACGGAAGGGAGTACGTGAGAAAGTATCATTCATGGCAGGAGGAGAGACAGACCTACAGGCAGCTGGTCAGGACACTGGAGAGAAACACTGGGGACTAAGAGTACCTGTCTGATGCTGTGAGATGCTCAGCCGTGGGCGGATACCCTTGCACAGAGCTCTGGGTGGGGGGCCTGGCCAGTACAAACCAAGCCTGGTTCACTGGAATCGTAGATCTATCAGTCATAAGACAATTCATCCAAAACCTTTCTGCTTCCAAGTAACATCCCAGATGTGCTTCTGGATCATACCTCATGGAGATGCAGTCCTCACTGGGGTGGGGGCAGGGCCACTGGTTTTCAGGGGAGTCAGGGAGAGAGTTGGAGTAGCTGCTTTAGGACTTTCCTAGGGACAATAAGGACTTATTTTGTAAGCCCTCACAGGGTAGACATCGCTCTCCTGTCTTCTGATGACCTGTAGCCCATCCCTGCCTGCTCAAGGAGCAAAAGCAAACATCTGACACGTCGGCTGAGAGGCTCCTGGCAGCAATTTTTGACATGGTACAGACCCTGTAGCCAATCTGGGGCTGACAGATGTCTGGCTGCGCCCCCAGGCCCTGCAGGTTTGCTTCCCTGAACACCGGAAGCAGGGCTGTGTGTAATCAGTCGTGTAACTGTAAGATAGCCCGGACCTCTCTAGATAAGCAGGCAGCACCACCCCCACTCCCCCACCCTCTAGGCTCCACCTACCTCTGGTCAAATTGGGGTGGAAAATCAGTTGGCCCTAAGGCCGCATCACCCATGGCCTGCAAGATGCTGGGACTGACTCTGGGTTCAGCATCATGCAGTCAGCCTCAGAGACCCAGCAGTGAGTGGAGATGAAGTCACCAGCCTCCAGCCCATCTCAGGACCGGCATGTGGGTCCCAGTGACCTCATCCAGCACGGGGCGAGTTTAACCAAGTGTCGCCATCACTGACCACACCAGGGGCACCCCCAAACCCAGTGCTTCTTTTCCTCAGTGGCGGCATTTGCCTCTGTTGGATCCTGAAACCCCCTTTTTCCAGTGGACATTCCGTGATGACTGGGGGTGACACGCTCCGTTTCTTGTGTAAAGTTGGAAGCCACAGGATCCAAAGGAGGAGAGGAAGCCAGATCTGAGTCCATCCAAGAAAGTGTTTCCTTAGGGCTTGTTCTGATGCCTGCAGACCCTGGAGGGGGCAGGAAGACCCATGCCATCTTTGCTTCAAACTTCGAACATCTTGGGCTTTTTTCTTTCCAACCATCCTGTTTAATAAACAGCCAAACCTAAAAGAGGAAGGCTCTGACTGAACACCTTAAACTCTGGTGCTGATGACATGGAGATGAGAACAGCATATTTATAGATTCTGTCCCATGTCATTTCCAGTTTAATTATATGCCTCAATCTCACAACAGAGTACCTTCCCAAAGGCAGTTATCTGGTAAACCTGCTCCTCATGCCCAGGATTCTCTAAAAATACCCATCACCATCCTCCTCCTTTTTTTTTTTGGTGGCATCTGAGGGTCACAAGAGTTGGGGCTCCCCTATGGCCATAGAGAAGAGAGGAAGGGAGAAACAGAGTCCAAACCCCTAGTGGACAGATCCTTCTGAATCTGGAATCAGTGATGTTAACCTAAGAAAAGGCCAAGTGTTGTCGTGGGCACTGACCAGGGATGCTGCTGTTGATAAAATACTGGTCACTGGGAGTCTCTGCTCTCATCCTGGTTGAATGATATTGTATGTGCTTGGCTCTACTGAACCTCAGCGTTGTTGTCCATCCACCTCTTTATAGAAACATACACACATGCCTCATGCCCTTTGGAGAAGGGCATGTTTTTAAATGAATAAAGTGTCACCATCCGCTGTCCAGCAAGAGTCCCTGTGTGTTCCTTTTGTGAGCCTGGTTCGGCAAGAACCAGACCCACCCCACCCTCCAGTTCCTGCACTTTAAAAGCAGATATTAATCCACTGACGCATCTCATTAAGAGGGGTTTAAGATGCAGTTGCTATTTTAATACCAAAGTATAGACGTAAAAAGAATGCTTTTCTTTAAATGTTCTGGATGCTCTCAGTTTCATACTCCGTTAACTTTATGTTTAAACATTTTGCATATTGTTTCCAATTTGCTGATGTACAGGTTTGGATGACTCAACGAGTCAATTTCCAGATAGAACTAAGATACTGTAACCTTCACACACAGAGGGAAATTGCATTTAACGCAGCACAGTGCTTTAGCACAGTTCTTTAGCAAAGAGGCACTGCTCGTACCTGACTTGCAGTTGGTGTGATGAGCTGGCTGGCGCTCACCGCTTCTGCCAGAAGAGCCCTCCACACCCCTTCCCCACACTTTTGCAATGAGCTTAAATAGGATAGCTTTGTTTTGATCTGAAAGGTTCATCAGGTATCTTCAGGTTTCCAAAGGCAGACTGTGCAGGCTCTCCATGCAGATGGGAATGGGTGGTCCACACGGTGCCTTGAGCACCCCTCAGACTGGAATGTGCCGCTAGCTGGTCTCTGTTCTGATGGCTTCCCTCACTGTGGCTCAGATGCTAAAGAGTCCGCCTGCAATGCAGGAGACTGGGTTCGATCCCTGGGTCAGAAAGATCCCCTGAGAAGGCAATGGCCACTCACTCCAGTGTTCTTGCCTGAGGAATGCTGTGGACAGAGGAGCACGACAGAGTGACTCACACACTCACACACACTGTCAGTTAGGGATGGGATTTGGAAATCCTTTGTACTCTCAGCCAGCANAAAAGAGAAGGGGATGAACAACCAGAGCAGACTATCCTAGAGCTATGGGACAATTTCAAAAAGTGTAACATGCATAATGAGAATGCCAGAAGGAAAAGAGAGAAACAGAAGAAATATTTGAAACAATAACTCCGATAGTTCTCCAAGATCCAGGTCAGACACCAAACCACAGATTCAGTAAACTCAGAAATTATCAAGAAAGATAAATGCCAGAAAAATATACATGTAAGCTTAATACATTCAAACTACAGAAGGTCAAAAATAAAGAAAAGAAACCTTGAAAGAAGTCATAGGGGGAAAAACCCCCACTTATATAGAGAGGAAAAAGTTTATAAGAATTATATCTGACTTCTATGGAACCAGAAAACAAGATGAGAGTGGAGTGAAATATTTAAAGTTTTTTAAAAAGAAAGAGGGACTTCCCTGGTGGTGCAGTGGTTAAGAATCCACCTTCCATCTAGAAAGATGGCACTGATTAACCTATTTGAAGGGCAGCAAATGGGCATCCCAAGTGACGCAAGTGGTAAAGAACCCACCTGCCAATGCAGGAGACATAAAAGACGCGGGGTTCATCCCTGGCTCGGGAAGATCCCCTGGAGGAGGGCACGCCAACCCACTCCAGTATTCTTGCCTAGATAATCCCATGGACAGAGGAATCTGGCGGGCTACAGTCCATGGGTTCGCACAGTTAGACACAACTGAATCAACTTAGCACAATGGAGATGCAGACGTAGAGAACAGACCTATGGGCGGGAGTTTGGGGGAGGAGTTTGGGGGAGGAAGGAGAGGGTGGGACGAAAGGAGAGACTCACATGGAAACATATACACTACCGTATTTAAAATAGATAGCCAATGGGAAATTGCTGCATGGCTCAGAGCTCAAACCAGTGCTCTGTGACAACTTAGGGAGGTGGGATGGGATGGAGTGGGAAGTGGGAGGGGAGTTTACGAGTGAGGGGTCATGTGTTACCTATGGCTGATTCATGCTGATGTATGGCAGAAACCAACACCATATTGTAAAGCAATTATCCTTCAATTAAAAATAAATAAAAATTTTTAAAAATCCATCTTCCAGTGCAGGGGCACAAGTTCAATCTCTGGTGGAGGAACAAAGATCCCACATGCCAGGGGGCAAAAGCTCATGCGCTGCAACTACTGACCCTGTGCACCATATTTACAGAGACACCCACAGGCTGCAATGAAAAATACTGCACTTTGCGCTGAAGATCCTGTATGCCATAACTAAGACTCGACACAGCCAAATAAATATTAAACAATAAATAAATAGAGAGAGGAGGGGAAAATGCCTGTGTGGGACAGCTTGCAGTACAGTAGCCATTGTGAAAAACTGGTTTTAAATTCTGTGGTCTTACTAATCACTGAAGACCTTTTAATGCCAAGAAAAGTGTTTCCCACAAGGTTTCCGTTGAGCTTTGAAGGCCAACCCAACACAGTTCACCTTTTCTTCCCAAGATCTCATTTGTATACAAACCCTCAGCTGGGGCCATATATCGATTATCACCTCAAACCCTGAGTACAAGAGTCTCCATCTGAATCTCCTACAATGTGTCTTTGTGTCAGGCAAGACACAGTTCTGGAAGACATAATAAAATGAAATGTATTGACTCGATATGTAATCCCAGTCTTTCCACTGGTTGTTCTCCTGGTTCCCCTTAAATGAGAAAGCATGGCAATGCTCATATTGGAAGGCCTTGGGAAATAGAAATAGTTTCTGAAATGATCCATGAGTCAGTTTGACTGAGACAAAACAAAAATTTGGACTAAAAAATAAGATATCATGCAGTATTTGTCTTTCTCTGACTTATTTTGCTTAGCCTGATGCCCTCCAAGTCCATCCATGTTGTTGCCAACGGCAACGTTTCACTCTTTTAGAGAGTAGTAGTCCATTGCATAGGAGAAGGCAATGGCGACCCACTCCGGTACTCTTGCCTGGAAAATCCCATGGATGAAGGAGCCTGGTAGGCTGCAGTCCATGGGGTCGCGAAGCATTGGACACAACTGAGCGATTTCACTTTCACTTTTCACTTTCATACATTGGAGAAGGAAATGGCAACCCATTCCAGTGTTCTTGCCTGGAGAATCCCAGGGATGGTAGAGCCTGGTGGGCTGTCATCTATGGGGTCGCACAGAGTTGGACACGATTGAAGCGACTTAGCAGCAGCAGGAGCAGTCCATTGCATGAGTTAGTGATGGACAGGGAGGCCTGGCGTGCTTCGATTCATGGGATCGCAAAGAGTCAGACACGACTGAGTGACTGAACTGAACTGAACTGAAGTCCATTGCATATGTGTATCATGTCTTCATCCATTTGTCTATAGATGGACACTCAAGTGGTTTCCATATCTTTGGTCAGTATTTCTTTCTTTTTTAAAATTTAAAAAAAAAATACTTTTTGGCCATGTCACTCGTGGCATGTGGGAACTTAGTTAGAGAATCAGGAATCAAAACCATATCCACTGCGTTGGAAGCATGGAGCCTTAATCACTGGACTGCCAGGGGAATCCCCTCAGCCAGTATCTCTTATAGAAGTTGAGACAGACACTACTCTCTGGTATGGATACCATAATGAATACTCCTTACCCTTATCAGAGGGGTCACTTCCTAGCTCAATCATTCACACAGACATGGATGGATGATTACAACAGTCAATGAACATGCAGCCAACACTCAGGAAGGGATCAGATAAAAGTCTGTGAGAATATGATCCATAAGGCAGTTATGCCTCCAAAGTTAGGATGAAAACCCCAACCAAGGCACTACAGGTAATTGCCAAGAGAATTATATTAGGCTCTAAAGGAACTTCTGCTAAAAATGAATACAAAAAAAAGTCTCTTGAGGGGAGGGTGTCAATTTGAAAAAAATAAAAATGACTTCATCTTTATCTGTGGCCACAATCTATTTTAAACAGATTTTTTACAATCTACTTCTTTCTTCAGACTCATTAATAGTCCTTAAAAATCCAGGCTGAAAGAAATATCTTCCCTCCAAATTACACAATTCTGCTAAATTACAAAATCTTTCTTCTTAGAGGGAAAAAAAAAAACTTCATGGTGCCATTCTCAGTAGAAGCCTTCGAACTCTTTCTACAATCTTTAGAAAGCCCCAGCTATTAGGAGAGTCATGCTTCATTTAAAGTGGATTTTCTTCTTTAGCATCTAATATAAAAATATGCTAAGTATTTCCTCCAGATCAGAAAGGTTAATAACCAGGCATTTGCAAGAAGGCAGAGCATGAGGAACCAAGTAACGCTAGGAGACTAGCTTTCTGACTTGGTATTTGGTGCAAATTCCCCCATTTTAGAAACAGTTGGAAAAACAACTCACAGAGTCTAAAGATTTTTTAGATTTCTGCTTGCTAAGAAGGGTTTCTTCTCTGTATTACAGAGTCTAGGCTCATATTGCTCACTGTACAACAGGTCAGTATATCAAGAGGGGTGATGCTGGGGCAAAAGATAGCGACTTCATTTAAAAAACCAGCAGATTGAGAAGACGGTGGGTGACTGTCCCAAAGAACCACCTTCCTGAAGTTAGAATTCTTTGATACTAGAAGGGGAGAGGGTGTGGCTGGCTGTTGCAAACTTCTTGGTGCAGGAATCTTTTGTTCTTGCAGCTGTCCATGTAGGTCAGGTTATCATGTTCCTATAAAAGTCTAACAAGACAGACATTATTCTCTGTTCTGAAACATTTTATCTCTGTATGGATGGAAAAGTTTTATACCTTTAAAGGTCAGAGCCTTGAGAAGGGCTCTCCTGTATATTTCAGGCTCTAGGGAACATTCTTTTACAAAAGGTGCAGGGCCAGCATGACTTAGCCCAGGCAAAAGAGCACAAGAGTTAGAGCTAAAGGAATAGATCCAACATGGAGTCAGATTTGCTCTTCTCTGTTGTATTGTTCCTTTCCTATCCTGTCTCTCCCAGTGTCTAAATGAGTTTAGAGGCTCCGTGGGCACATAAAAAATGATAATACACAATGTGATTGAAAAAGCATCTGTGTTTATAACTTAAAATAGTGTCGTTACTCCAATTTTGTCAGTTATCACAAACATTAATTGGACTCTGTGTGACGGGCAGGGTGCTCAATGCTGATGACCTTGAACTTTACCTG